AAAAAAAAAAAAAAAAAACAACTGTTGCTTGTAACATACAACTTGAAAACTTGTTGAAGAACAGAAGATGAGCAATAACACAGTATCTGCTGAGACCTTACTAATTCTCTGTTACACACTGCCATCTAGCAGGGAGACTGAAAACCAAGGTTTTTTCAGCAGTTTCAAAACTGGAGCCCACCTTACTGATCACCTGAGTTACAGCATGACCTCTGGCTCCTCCTTCCTCAAGATAAGGAGAAAGTTGTATAACTGAGACTAGGGCGCTGTCTAGTTGGTGGTTCTTAAACTTTAAGGTGCAAATGCCGGGGCTGTTTATTCAATGCAGATGGCCAGACCTGGTCTGCAAAATCCCATCTGAGCCTGTGTTGGACCACAGAGAAGCAACATCACAGTTGTAGCACCATGGCACTAGCAAACCGGAGATTGCTCTCGGGCATCTCACTTAAAAGAAGGATGGATGAAGGGAATAAAGTCATTAGCCCAACTTGCTGTATTCAGAATTGTACCCAGCCAGAGTTGAAAGCATCACACAAATGAAATTGGCACACCATGTCAGGCATTACACACTCTACCCAACTACTTCAGGGAGTTGTGACAGCGAGTACAGGGGCAATCTGTGGGCACAGTGGTTAAGAATAGCAGTTATTTTACGTGCCATTTGCTGAATATTAAAAAAAAAAAAAAAAACACTAAAAGATCCCCAGAAAACGTCTTAAATTGTCAGCAATGTTATTATGCTTTTGTATCTTACACAAAATGAGTTCAGTTCTGAGGGTACTAATCGGGTCTAAAAATCCTGAAGATGAGCAGGGCCTGTGCTGAACTCACACACACACACACAAAATGGCTTGCAAATTGAAAACCAAACCCTGCAGTTGTTCTGGGGACTCTCCGGGGACTTTCTCCATTAAATACTCAATGCTCTCTGCAGCCGGAAAGTCACAATTGCTACTCTTGGGCACAAAATTTTCGCAGCAAGTGCTGCTCAGGAGAGACCTGGGGAAAATCGAAGCAATTCTCAAGACGTGGAGGCGGTGTCCGGCCCCGGGGCCTGGGGCCTCGGGAGGAAGCGGGTCAGCGGGCCAGGGAACCCGGGGGAGACCCTTGTCCCTGGCGGTCGGGTCCCCGCCCGTCGCCTGAGCCCTCCGGGGTGGGTCATTTCAGCAGGCACGGCGGTTTCGATCGCAGGCAGTGGCTCTGCCCAGTGACTCCACGTCCCCCAGACAGACTCGGACTCTTGCTCAGCGCACCGCTCAGTCTTTCTCTTACGCACAGAAACCAGGTTTCCTGCGGCCGTGGCTCTGGCAGGCACTGACCCGACTTCCAAAGTCATCTGAAAAGTCGCTTTCTGGATCCGGGCATCAAGCCCCTGCCCCCACCAAGCTATCTCCGATGCCAGAAGAGACGCGGCACCGCCACTCACCTCCCCGGGGCTCAGGAGGCTTCCCCGGTCGCTTCCAGGGACCCCGCGCCGCTTCCCGCTCCGCCTGAGCCCCCGCCTGGGCGCGGGGACGACCCGGAGAGCGGATGTTGGAACGGAAGCCCCTGGCGGGAGTGGGGACGCGGAGCGCATCCAGGCGGAGGCATGCCGGATCCGGGTTTTCGCTGAGGCCCTATTTAAAAGTGTGGGGCAGTGCGCGGTACCCAGTGTTTAGTACCTTGGGAGATGCGGCCTTAAGGATTGCTTAAGTCCAGAGGCTCGAGACCAGCCAGGGCAACGTAGCCAGATCCTGTCTCTGCAAAAAAAAAAGAAAGAAAAGAAAAATTAGGCAGGAGTGGGATCACCTGTAGTCCTAGCTACTTGGGAGGCTGAGGCAGGAGGATCGCTTGAGCCCAGGAGTTTGAAGTTGTTGTGAACTATGATCGTGTCACTGCACTGTAGCTAGAGCGACACAGCAAGACTCTGTCTTCAAAAAGTAAATAAAATAAAATTTAATTTAAAAACAAGTGGGACCTCAATTCCATGAACACAGGGCGGCCTCTCCCGAGTCTGGGGTGCAGTCAGCCTGAGGCCCCACCCTTTCTTGAAAGTTCTCAAGAAGCTTCCTGAGACCTTCTTCTTCAACAAGTTACTGGACACTTTCTGCTAGGACTGGAGCACCTATTCAGGAAAACTGAGGCCCTTTTAAGCTACAGTTAAGTCTGGGCACCTCTCACCTGTCTCCTCATAGTGCAGACTGGACAGGGGGATCCATTGGCTTGATTCTACTGGCTGTTAATGATCTGGATGTTTGAACTGCAACTGTGATTCTGTGCCTGTGTAATACCTTTATAAATTCATTAGTGCCTTTACAAAAAGAGGCCAGAGACAGCTTCAAGGTGTGAGGTGCCTCCTGGGGCACAGACCCTGTGGGGAATCTGCAGCCAATGGTGTTCTATTGTTTATAAACTGCCCAGCTAAAGTATTTTGTTCTAACAGCCCCCAAACGGAACAGACACTGATAAAGGAAAACTGACCGACTTCAAACTATTGCGTTCTAAATCTAGATAACCCAAATAAAATTATTTTGCCCTCGTCCAGGAGATGTTAAACCTAGGGAGGTAATTCAAGACTTTGGGAAGGCTGGGACTAGTATGAGACAGGTGTGGTGGCCAGGACTCAAGATTGGAGGAGGCACTGATACTCCCGTCTTGCCAGTGCCGGGAACGCCTGCAGGGACCAGGGAGTGATGTGCTGTCTTAGGCCCACCTCGCCCCAGACCTGAACCCTCAGAGCACCAGCGCCAAAGCATCTCTGTAAAAACAGGTTGATAATAATGCCCCTTCCAGAAAAAGTCAAACATGATGAAAAAGATTAATAAATTAGATATATATACATCAAAAGGCATGTATGCGGGGGCCATAAAACACACCCCAACAAATTTAAAAGCATTGACATTATGCAAAGTATGCTGTCAGGACACAATGGAATTAAACTAGAAATCAGTAACTAAAAGATAACTAGGAAATTCCAAGATACGTGCAGATTAAACAATACACTTCTATATAGCACGTGGCTGAAAGAAAACTCGAGGTTGGTTCTGTGACTTGCTTTGGCCACTGAGTGGGGGAGATGTGACAAGGTACCAGTTGTGAGCCCTGGCCTCAAGTGGCCTTGCATACGCTCATTCCTATTCTTGGCATCCTGCCCAGCTTCCATGAGACCAATGCCATCACAGTGTTCTGGACAATGAGACATAATCACTCAGTCACTCCTGTTGTCCCAAACAGTAGCCAGTCAACTCTAAGGGATGGGCAATTTATAACTTTAGCTGGGAAATGTATAAACAATAGAACACTATTGGCTGCAGATTCCCTACAGGGTCTGTGCCCGAGGAGGCGCCTCACACCTTGAAGTGACACCATCTTAGACCAGTCAGCCCACAAGCCACTCCACCAGGTGACTACAGGTACGAGTAAGCCCAGATCGGCAGACTGCCAGCCTGACTTCTAGAAACACGAGCATTAATAAATGTTTCCTGTTTTAAGCCACCAAGGTTCAGAGGGATGTTACACAGCAATAGCTAACGAATACAGAAATTGCTCCCCATAAACGGGCTGCTGCTGTCACAGCAGCTTTGGTTTGGGCACCAGATGGTGGGCAAAGATGAAAAAAAGCACTAAGCATGCATCTATTGGACAGACTGGAGAAGTCATTGTCTGTTGCTAAGAGTTCCACTACAGATGCAAGAAAAAGTAAATATCCTCACACTTTTTGTCTGACTGTGATATCGGACAGGTGGTGCCCCAGCTAGCTCAGCCGAGCAGGGCTGGAGAACCTGCCGCCTGCGTCTTGGCGGTGTTGGTGGTGGCAGCCAGCAGAGGAACCAGCAGGCTGGAGCATAGGCAAGCTTGGGGGGGGGGGGATACCGTTCCCCCACAGAAACTCCAGTAGCCAAAAGAACAAGACAGGAGCAGGGAAGACACTGGCTCTGTGCTGTCTCCTCACGTGGACTTGGGGCAATTCCTCCAGTGCATTCCTGATTGGTCTATTTTCAAAACCTGCTCCTGATTAGTCTGTTTTCAGGACCCAAAAGCTCATTGGACAACTGCCCCTATATAAGCCAAAGAGCCCAAGCGCAGACCTCGGCAAACCTCCAAGAGAGAGCAAGAAAGCAAGGAGGTTTGGCTCTGTAACACTTGTATCCTGCTCTACCAGATTTGCCCCTTTGTAAGAGCTGTAAACACTTGCAAGGAGGTTTGGTTCCATGTGAGAGCTGCAACACTCGTATTATAAAACCTATCTTACTGCTAATCCTACTCTACACGGAGTTTTGGTTCCTTGTGAGAGCTGTAACACTTGTATTATAAGACCTATCTTTCTGCTGGTCCTGCTCCACAAGAAAGCTTGGTTCTCTATAAGAGCTGTAACACTTATACTGTTAAATAAAACCTATCCTGTGGTCTGTCGCTTCATTCTTTGAACCGCGGAGACCAAGAACCTGGAAATCCAGTATCAAAATCCCGTATCAACTGTGGTAACAAAAACTGGATGGAAGAAAGAATACAAGAGAGAAACATGTTAATACAGTGAAAAATATGCAGAGTGAATACTCAGAAATAACCTTGTGAAGAGTCCGTTTTACTCCAAAGAATAATCTAAAATTTGAGATGTTTTTCTAGGAGAAAATCGCTATAGCAAACTGGAAAAATGATGATCCTTGTTATGTCATAGCAAAATATTTAGTAAAACTATCACCTATAGTATGTCAATGGAAAAGAAACCATAATCTGTAAAATAATTTAAAGAGGTTTATTCTGAGCCAAACGTGACCACCGTGACCCGGAGCCAGATCCAAGAAGCCTTGAGCATGTGGACCCACTGTGGTGGAGTGAGAGTTTGGTTTTATATATTTCAGGGAGACGAGAATCACAGATAAAGTTATAAATCAATATGTGGAAGGCATCCAGTGGTTTGGCCTGAAAAGGGGGCACATCTCAAAGAGGGACCCACAGGTTATCGGTGGCTTTAAAGATTTCTTTAGGTGACAGTGGGCTAAAAGAGTTAAAGGACCATAAGTGAGTGAAAAGGAATGCTGAGTTAAGATAAGTGTCTGCTGATCAGAGACCAGCTACCTGAGCTTGCCAGGACTCAATCTCTTGTGTGTATTGAGATCTGCAGGTGGGTCTTACGTAGCCTGAGGCCTGTTATGAGTCACAGAGGACATCTCTCTGATGGGAGGAGGGCATGATGAGGCATGTCTAATCTCCTTTCTCATGACTAGTAACTCAGTTTTAGGGGATCCCCTTGGCCAACGGGGATTCTAATCAGGCAGCTGTGGGGATATGGTGGGGTATGAGGGGTAAGGCTTAAGATTTTAGTTCAGGCTCAGCGGCTATACCATAATGGTTAGGGCGCCAGGCCCATACACCAAGGCTGACAGGTTCGAAACTGCCCCCGGGCCAGCTAAGTAACAATAACAACTGCAACCGAAAAATAACCAAGTGTTGTGGTGGGCACCTATAGTCCCAGCTGCTTGGGAGGCTGAGGCAAGAGAATCACTTAAGCCCAAGAGTTGGAGGTTGCTGTGAGCTGCGACGCCACAGCTCTACCGAGGGAGACATAGTAAGACTCTGTCTCAG